ATTGCCAACAACTGAAGTTAGATCACCATGCCAGGGACCGTGGGGACTTACAGTACTCTTGCTACCTGCACGGACCCTAGCTGGATTTACACCATCCCTTCAGCCGTTAGCAAGTTAGATAAATCTAGCCATAGATTAAAATAACACATATACTACGATTAAAAATAGTAGTAGGTTTAAATTAGCTGGGAATGCATTGGGACTTATGTACGCTCTCAGGAGGACAATAATTTTACAATACTTCAACCCCCTTTGAGGGTACAGCCACTAACAATCTAAGTTACTAATCTAAACTACCAATAATTAAAATACATCTATCTATAGAACATGTTAATCAGAATTCATCAATGAAGTCAATTTCTTTTTAAAAAACAAGAATTAAATGAGAATTAACAGTAGTAAAAAGATCCTTAACTCTTTTCACACTGAAATATTTATCCCTTATGATGGAGAATTCAACACAGTCAAGCAGGATATGCTTGACCGTAACTCTCTCATCACAAGGGATACAAAACGGAGGATCTTCACCTTTTAGCAAGTATTTGTGAGTATAACGCGTATGGCCAATGCGACATCGTCGCATAATGACCTCTTGAATCTGGACTGGCAACCCAAGTAGGTGTAACCGATAGTTGGTTTAATTGCATGTAACTTAATTATACCTACTTGGGTGTCCCACTTCTTCTGCATCAGATCACGGATGTAAGTTCTAATGCTAGCTTTGTAATCAGAGTATGGGATGAGAAGTGGAGTCACAGATTTGTTTAGTGCTGCCTTAGCAGCAAGATCGGCCATTGTGTTACCAGAAATGCCAACGTGGCTTGGTAACCAACAAAAAAACGATGTCGCATTGGCCAGTAGCAAGTTCATTATATAACTCAATAATTTCTATTAAAAGTGGATGTGTGGATAAGTTTTTAATAGCCTGAAGACAAGAAAGAGAGTCTGAAAAGATGATATATTGTTTATATTAAGGGTGTTTATTAATATATTTTAAGGCTGTTAATATGGCGTTAGCTTCTGCAGTGAAAATAGAGCTGTTATCGTCACATAAGTATAATTGAAATAAATAAGTATGTCTCCACCAGAATGCATGTATATATTCCCTTCTGCAAACATACACTCAAAGCATCCAATGATGCGCAAAACAAAAAGATGTTGATGGCAAGGGGCAGGAACTTCATCAGGCTGGTGATCTGATTTAATAGGACGAAACACGAAATTACGAATGTGTCTATCCGCTCAATCTGACACCTGTGGCTCTGTGAAGGTCATCTCCAGTTTGAGAGGCACTTTGACCACGGTTTGTAATGAGTCCCTGATGAAACGGTGCTCCAGTTGTCGCCATGGTCGTCCAGATCTGTCATCAACGTTATTTTCTCTGGCTATCGTGCTCTGTGTATTACTGACTGTGAAAAGTTAAGGCCTCATGCCACAAGGTTGTGTTTTGTTGTTAACTTTCACTATGCCAACGGCACGTAGCTATTCCTGACGTGTCTTTGCTGAGTATTGTTTATGAAATTTGGACCTCTGGTTTATTTCCAAACTAAAATATGGAAGAAAATATAATCGATAGTATCGACTACTTTCATTGACAATATTTTAATCCCTTTTGACGATGCAGCCACTAACAATCTCAGTTACTATTTTAATCTAATTAATTTTGACCTAATGCAAAAGATGTGACAGTCTAGATATCAGGAGGTCATTATTCGACAATGTATACACACGAATATTTTTAAAAGTCAAGACAATCCCAGTCAATCATGTATCGTGTCTGCCACGCATAAAAAAATAACAAATAACTTATCTTGTATGCATAACTATACAAAGTGAAGCGGTCACATTCACCTACGGCAATATCATTAGGTGGGGAAGAATTAACCCTAAGAAAACGCTTGCAAGCCAACGAGGTGTACGCTTTCCATTTTGGTAGAGCCCGCCAACTACTGGGACATAAAGAGGGACAGGCGCTATTTTCATATCAAATGTTTTGAAGAACAAGTCATACCTTGTACAATTAATCTTGCCAATGATCTTAAGACAGAAGCCTTGTTTCCAGGACATGCATGATTTTAAAAATGTCCAGACAAGATATACTTCTAACTACTTGACACCGAAATATTTTATAGAACAAACTTTATGGATAACAACTTCTTTTATTCGTGAGTGCGACGTTTCGATACAGATTCTTGTAACGTTGTCATGTTTCGATACAGATTCTTGTACCGTTGTCATGTTTGACAACGGTACAAGAATCTGTATCGAAACGTCGCACTCACGAATAAAAGAAGTTGTTATCCATAAAGTTTGTTCTATATTGTACTTCCCAACTTCTAAAATGCCACTCAAAGAAGTTACCGAAATATGTATTTTTAAAAATCCAATTTATGAGACCAACTTTCCACCTTTCTTAAAGACCATTACATTAGTTTTATCTGATTAAATTCCATACTCTATACAAACCTTTCCAGTACGTTAATCCGCTTCCTCCAATACTATCTGAAATACGATAATGCCGTCTGCAAATAATAGAATAAATAACTGTGTGATATCTGGGTGAAGTTGTACTCCCGGACCAGAGTTCTCAATAGCCAACTCGTTAATCAAGAATCTAAAATAAAAGAGAACTAAGTACGCATCCCTGAGTGACTCCACGTGGACAAGGAAACACCAATGAGAATACACATGTCTCTATTTAGGGTCCCAATAACAATGACAGAGTTGAGGAATATAGCATGTGTTTGTTATTGTACCAGCAATATAAACACCGGAGATTAAAATATCCTTATCAAGGCCAAATGTAAGTTTTTCGACTATTAGAAAAACGTCACTATCTGTAATTTCACGCTGATGTTTGCTCTATTTCTCACAAGGATGACTACACCGTTGAAAGGTCTACCTCTATGGGCAGGTTTGAGTGCAATTAAGCTGTAAGCTGTGAAGTTAAATATCTGATGATACGCGTAGTCCATGTCTCACATACTCCTACAGTATGTTGTTCATTCATGAAGTTTAAGAAATTGTCACATTTTTTTCACGGACACCTGCCTGGACTAGGCCACCCCTATTCATCAGCATCGGACAGGTTAGCCATATTATCATTATATAGAACAAACTTTATGGATAACAACTTCTTTTTATTCGTGAGTGCGACGTTTCGATACAGATTCTTGTACCGTTGTGAAGCATAATGATACGTGACAACGGTACAAGAATCTGTATCGAAACGTCGCACTCACGAATAAAAAGAAGTTGTTATCCATAAAGTTTGTTCTATATTGTACTTCCCAACTTCTAAAATGCCACTCAAAGAAGTCATATGATCATTATCAGATCTGCTACCTCAGGATCTGTCCTATATAGAGTCAGTCAGGACCATTCTTGTAGTAACCGCGTTTGTTTTGTGTACATACATCTTGAAGTGTCTACCTCTGCTTATGTGTTAGGTCACTAGCTATTCCATAGCCTCCGGTTTTTTTACTTCACTTCTCAAATTAATTCAGTGTGGTTTCCAATCTGAATTACAATGTTTAATAATGATAGGTCTCGAGCGTTTGGCATGTGACGAACAGTGCTCGTTTCTATGCAATTCAGCAACATCTTGAGAGTTAATCTCGATACTGTCATCGTTTACGTTTTTGTTTAAAATGTCACAAACTAGCTTGTTATATTCTTTGATGGGCGGTGATGTAGCCTAGTGGTTGAAGCCTTCGCTTCTCACGCCGAAGTCCAGGGTTCGATTCTCCACATGTGGAAAATGTGTGAAGCCCGTTTCTGGAGTTCCCCGCCGTTACTGGAATAATGCTAAAAGCTTCGCAAAACTAAACTACTGGTTTTTTTAGACTCCATATAGCAAGATATGGTTCTTTCGACTATCTTGTTCCAATTTATCTACTTTTATTCTGTAGTTCGAGCACTATGACCGTTGGCACGGTCAGTGGAGACTTCCTCAAGCTTTTCCAAATGATCGTTAATTGTTTCAGAATCCAAACGGAGTACACACTGTTCTCCTATTAGTTCTTCCCTATTTCCTTGAAGGTCGTCAGCAGTAACAGAGTTTTTAGGTTTGTGATTCTATCTACCTATGCCACGTGTAAGTTCGTTTATAACTGACCGAAACTCCTGTAAAATATCACTTTATCACAAGTATTGATATTTGTATACAGGAAAACGGATCAACATGGCCAATATGCCGGGTCTTATGTGCGTGGGAGAGATAACCTATTTTCAACCTAAACATTGATAGAGATGCCCATTTAAATTAGAACTATTCACCAACTTATATATAAACAAAGTTTCTGTATGGAAATTTTATGTTTTCGTCATCTCAAGAATACATGTTCTTGAAAAACGTTTGAAGATCAAAATTCGGTTTTGGGGTCCTGTGAACAAACGTCCAAAGGAAAAGCTGCATATGATGTAAACGTAACATTAAAAATTGTATATAAGAAATTATGTCCATTCTGAAACAATCTCCAATCATCGTTTGCTATTCAAAAACTGGTTAAATTCTTCTGACCTAAGGTCTTGATTGGAATATGTCAGGTCTTTCCTTCACCTTACACGCTCTGTCATTGTATTCAGTCCACCGACATAGCTCACAAAACCTAGATTGTTCAATGAACCTGGCGTGAGTGTGTTGTCACGTTTTAGCGTTTATCAACCATTTAAACAAGAAGCTGAGTATCAGTATTGATAGTCTCAACACCATCAGCACAGTCACGCCCAACCAACTGGTTGTGAGGCAACTATATAATTCAACCTTAAGCCGTTATCAGAAGTTATGGCCTTGTTCGATAGCTTTACGTTATCAATCACGTGGTGTATCGTTGGGCACTAGCATTACACCGTGTTGATGGAAGACATCAGTTCCACACTGTATCACTACACAGGGCACAGGGAGGTATATGCTGTTCATCTGAACTTCAAGCACAACTTCTGATTATCTTCTGGAGGTATTGTCAATTGAAGTTACGCTATACACACACGAATCAATCATGACAATAGAATGTATTGCCTTCTCCGAAGGACAGAACGCTAAAAAGTACATTACAATTGAAGAAAAACTGAAACCTCTGTTGATGTCCATGAAACTGTTTGGAATGTACTTCGACCCAAAACAGGGTGACAATACATCGCTGCAGTTGCAGAATGGACAGAAGAGAATATCTACAAGAATACTGGCTTTCATCGGGCAGAGACAATACTGTTACATGGTTCTTCTTTTGCTGTGGTTAAATTGTGCCCGAATGGTTGTTGGGATCTTCCCTCCTAATGAAACATTACCGTTTCGGGTTGTGAACATGTCGTGGTATCTCCAGTGCACACTTAATGTAACTGTCATGGTGTTCTCGTGTCAGAGACTTTGTCACTTGCGATCCTTTTACAACTACTGGGATTCCCTTTTCAAGAACAATGTCACCAACCAAATAGGATGTGGATTCAAATGCGCAATGAAATATTTGATGTTTGCAACATCCGGTGGATGGGTTTTGTTTTTCATCAACACAGCAGCAGTATTTACGATCTTTTTTGGAAATTTGTCAATGTCAAAGGTTTTCCTTGATGACATGGTTCAGCCATTTCCAGAGGAAATATGGGCAATTACACTCCAAGTCATCTTGCATGTGATTAGCACAGGGGCATGGATATTTCCTGTAATCTTCGTGGCTGTAGTTTCCAGGATCATCAAAGATCAGTTTCTCGTATTTAGGCAGGTCATTTCCAAGAAGATCCAGGAAGCAGATGACCACATTCCTGAACGTCTGCCAGAACTCAGATCTCGTTACACGCAGCTTTGTCAGGCTGTGGACAGCATCAACAGAACCTTTAAATGGATCCTCGGAATATCGTTTTTCCTTCAGGTTTTCATGGCCTGTTTCATTTCGTATCAGATGATTAATCGCCCACAGGAGATGTTTACATTTTTTGCCAATTCATTTTGGCTTGGAGGATGTTTTCTAACCATAATCTTGCTGACAAGGAGCAGCTCTGGTGTACATGAGGCGGTAAGTACACACATTACATTTTAACTAAGTACAAGGGTGGCCCTGTGTTCTAGTGTACCACAGTTCACTGTGATATTTGTGTGCCTTATGCGTGCCAGAAACATATGATCGTGGGTTCGAATCCTAAACACGTTTTTGATTTTCATTACTTTGGACTCGCGTTACTTTTGTGACGCGTTCAGGGTGTTTTTACACCACGTCTTCCAGCTTCAACCTAAGACGAGACGGTGCTGTTTTCAGTCCCGTTTGAGGTATATGCACAAACAAAAGAATATTTTGTCATGTGTAACTCTCTGGGTACAACTCTTTCAGGCACATTCTTTGCTGGAGGATATATTCCACACTGGCACAAAAAATGCCACAACAGAACTTCTAGGACAGGTAGGTATTGAATTGCAGCTACATTATGTTTAGTCACTGCCCAGTTTACCGCTTTTCTGAAATGCACTTACTGCAAGAAACATCTACATGTAAATTAGATAGGCGACACTCACCAACACTGATTCGTTTATCTGGGAATATGTTATTCGCAAAATAGAATTCACTGTACACCATCATCTGTGGTAAAGTAGACTATCTCTCTGAAATGAACCTGATGATTTTTATTTATGGTCGGCCATTGTTATCAATGTTTGCCTTCTTCTTTTTCAGCTGATACTCTTTGTCTTCAACCTGACAGGAAGATCCACTGGATTCACGGCCGTTAACTTCTTTGTCATCACAAATGAGTTCCTTTTGACTGTAAGTAGCAAAGTCAACCATCATTGCCATCAGCCATCAAAAGTCACTAAAATCGTACCATTGTTCAAATTAACACTGAACAACATGAAATATTGCATGGTTTTGTGATGTTAGCCAGTTGAAAAGTAATTTGAGTGATGAATAAATGAACCAGATAGTCTGAGAGAGGCGGGTGTTTCATTAGATTGGGTTAAAATGAACAGCTAGTCAGCCAGACAAACTCCCTGAAGAGTCTGAGTCACATACCCAGTATATACAGAATTGTCAGAAACGGAATTGAGTTTATATTGTAGCCGACGTTGTCGAAAGGTCTTTCGTTTTTGTGTACCACTTGTAGCAAATGTATCGTTAATTATACTTGACTGCCAGTAGTTCAACAATTTATTCATTTCAGCTTGTTGGTTTGTTCATCACCTACTTCTTCCTCCTGCTGCAGTTCAAGATATAGACTGACTCCGGTATGCGGCATGGGATTAGATCTGTTTACACAGCAAAACATTTCCCTATTCCACGAATGTATCAAACAACTATCCATATGCAACAGAGACGTTCATGTCAGCTTTCTACTATGACCATAGAGAACTACCACAATTATGAAAAACACAATATAGTTTAATAAGCATCAAATAACCAATTCCCTTCCACTCATTTACCCACTTGAACTTAAAGTAAAGGAGACAAGTGACCCCAGCTGGTTTGTTTGATATTTTCAGATGCAGTCTGACTTAAACTTCGTACAAAGATGTGTGACAAAAGGGATCATTTCAACTTTACAATTATCAATTTTCCATTCATGTCGAGCAATATTCCAGCGGTTTCACAATTCTGAAGTTCAATGAAGCATGTTCTCTTTATCAAGATTCCAAAGCGTGCTGTACGACTCGAGCTCAGAACAACAGCAACTGCTCAGAAATTGTTTGATCAAGGTTACAACATTTAAGGGCTTTTTTACAGATTCACTTTAAAGGATGAAAGTTACATCTCACGATATCAGTTTTCAATCTTTAGAAACTGTACATTGTAGTAGCGGTGGACTATTTTGGTATACAGGTTGGAAAATAACAGGTCTACACGTAACTAAAGAAAATGAATCGGTTAAATAAACCTGATGTTATAAAATACTATACACAGTCCCCAGGTAACAAATACGATGTTTTCGCAAAATCAGAATATATTTACAAAGAACAGTAGCTCCTGCATTTAAGAACATTCTGTTTTCAATTGAAGAAACGTATAAAGTTCCAGAATTAAACGTTGATATTAATGAAAATATGAAAAGCACCAGTACATAATGATATCTGAGATGAAATGTTGAAATACTCTCAGTCTGAACGTATGTCGTCCCTCCAAAAACAGAATATATAAAAGTTTTCACCGTGGTGTTTTTCCAAGTTCCAAGTTTCCTCTGTTTAAGCCCCGTAACATGAGTAACATGGGCTGGTATTGACAATAATTCAAAGTAGGGTACTGATATATAATTTTATTTTGTGTGCATTTCCTTTTTTTTAAAACTTGGTTTCATTAGGCATACCTTAGTTTTGTGTAGCATTATTTTTTTTATTCCTGAAAGGCATTTGACTCTGTTGATCAGTCTTAATTATGCAAATGTATTGTTAATGATGCAGGGTTGTGCGCTTGTTGTATGTTTTGGTACCTGTGTCAGTTGCTGGCGATTTATACCCCGTTTATATATATTTTGTTGTTTTGAAATGTTTTAATTAATTTGTGATAATCTAGTGGTTATACTGTCCTTAGCTGACAAGTTTTTAAAATGTATAAATATATTTATTCTTAGTACATAACTCGTCGTCACGATATGGCTGAAATATTGCTGATGTGACGTACACTTTTAACTCACTCACTCACCTGTGGGTTAGTGAGGGACAGTGGTGTGTTGTATTTACTAGATTTTGACAGAGGTATATGGAAAGCTTATTCCACAATCATCAGCTATGCATGTGATGATCATTCCCTGCCTAGTCTATAGCTGCAAGTTCTATATCGTACTGCCTCTGAATATTTGTACTGCCATTCCATTTTGTACTGCTTCCGTGATATCATTGTATTGATTTGTGAACTTGAATACAACTGCTAGTTACAGCACATTTCGTGTGGTTTGTTGATTTCACGGATAGTTTCTCGTACGGACTCATTACCGGTGAACTATTTAGTTTCAACTTGCTTCCAACATGTAACAGTTTCACAACCATTGCCCTCTAAAATGCATTCCGTCATAAAAGCTGTGTGTTATAATGTTACATACTTCTTTGAATGTCCGATGGACTGTGCCAGGGATATATCCTCAGTCCTATTTTGTTCTACTTCTTTATCAGTGAATTGTAATTTGAAAGTTCATAATTGGGGTGCACATATGTCCAGTCACCAATCATCTGATATAATTTCTAATACTTCTCTTTGCTGATAATGTCATATTAGTTTCAGAATCTATTGTTGGACTACAAACACAACAGAATATTTTGGGCACATACAGTACTGAATCAAAACTATCGGTTCACTGGAAAAGAGTAACACGTATGCATGACAAATGGTCTTTTAAAGTAAAATCAATTCATTTTATCATGTCGATATTAGATCAGTCTTTACGTCGAAAAATGGCGTTTGATTCAATTCTTTGTTGGTTTCGAAATGTACCCTCCTAATGTCCTATTTAAACCTTTCGACATACAAATATAACCATTTGGGTGTATTTATGATTCAGAAATATCCGGGTTCGAGAGATATGAATATCTGGGAGAAATATATCTTTTGACACGTAAAATGTATCTAAGGGTAGGATCCTCTTCAACGAATTGCAGTGTTTACGATGGATGTGATAGCTGTCCTCTAAACCTAGCTTCACACATTAGTTGACTTAAATTCCAAGTTATTATTCCAAGTTTAAAACACGAGCATGATATCCCTGCAGGATCTACTTCAGCAATTCAGCAATTGGTGACTTTGCACTATAATGATAATAGAAGGTAGAAAAAAGGTACCAATGCAATTAAGTGATCATGTAGGATTGGATGTGAACATGTATAGAGAATGAAAATTACTTAGGTATCCAACTTTGAATCTTTATGTATTCACAATGTTTTACATATGACACCAGAATGTCCATTCCCTTCCTCTATGAAACCTCTTGAAACTATACCTGAGCTTGATTATTAACAGCATCAATCTGAAAAATTGATAATATATAAAGATATTGTATCTACCCACCGATCTAATAATTCATGTCTATCTCTGTACGTTGCTGTATATTTTGTTTATTTTATCATTTTTGTAACTGTGACGGATTAAACTACAATACAGTCCTTCTTCAAATTTACACTCTGTACCTTCGAACGTGGTTGAAGTAGTGTAAAGTTATATCACATCAGCCAGACATATTCGTAGTATGAGTGAGTGGGTACAGTTGTATTTCAGCAATATTAAAACAATATTACGACAGAGGAGTGAGTGAGTTTAGTTTAACGCCGCACTCAGCAATATTCCAGCTATATGGCGGCGGTCTGTAAATAATCGAGTCTGGACCAGACAATCCAGTGTTCAACAGCATGAGCATCGATCTACGCAATTGGGAACCGATGACATGTGTCAACCAAGTCAGCGAGCCTGACCACACGATCCCGTTAATCGCCTCTTACAACAAGCATGGGTTACTGAAGGTCCATTCTAACCCGGACCTTCACGGGTATACGACAGAGGTAAGCAGAATGGATTTCACACACGATATCCATGTGGGGGGCGGTGGGGTAGCCTAGTGGTTAAAGCGTTGGCTCGTCACGCCGAAGACCCGGGTTCGAATCCCTACATGGGTACAATGTGTGAAGCCCATTTCTGGTGTCCCCCGCCGTGATATTGCTGGAATTACCAAACTCAGTCAGTCAGTCAGTCGATATCCATGTGGAGAATCGAACACGTCTATTGCCTGGTCTGTCACGTTATTGAAGCTGATTACATGAATACCTGACTTGTGTGCCCATCCACGTATTTACAATGGTACTTCTGAGAGCGTACGTGCACAAAATGGATTGCCGACTACACTCTGGAGTATTGTCGTTGTTGAACATGTATTGAGAGAAGAGAAGAACGAAAAAGAAAACATGTTTGGTTGGACATGAAGGTGACCAGACAAGGTCTAAAAGTGTCGTGGTAAACTCCCTAACTCGTGCCTTTGTTTATCCGTGCGGAATTTAAACCGAACACAGCAGTAAACTCCAGTGGGAAATGGCTGTGTCCATTCGTATTTCCCCACCAGTATATTTCAACATTTATTGATTAGTCCAAACTTTCAATGTATGCAATGTACAATGTACACCAAGCAATTAAATCATCCCGAAATGTATATATACAGTACAACCAGAAATTATTGAGAATTTAAGATTGTAATTTAAAATTTTTTTCACTCATTACTCACGTATTTAATGTGAATATTAGCAGAACATGACTCCAGATTCAAAGACAGGTGAACAGTTAGTATTTTGTCAAGTCACCATGGGCAGCAATGCAGGCTTCAATGCGGCGGGGCATACTACTGATCAAAGAAGTTAGAAAGTCGTGGCCCATGCTGTCCCAATATCGGACCACCTCTTCTTTCATTTCAGCAATATTTGTCAGATTTTTCTTATTGACACTTTCCTTCATAAGTCCCCAAACATTTTCTATTGGATTTAGGTCAGGGCTATAGCTTGGCCAATCTAATAATGTCATATTTTGGGTCGGAAACCAGGCCTGTGAATGCTTTGAACGATGCTTTTGGTCGTTGTTCTGCTGGAAAATCCAAACATTTCCATAGAACACGTGAGCAGATGGAAGTAAATGTCCCTCGAGAATATCTGTGTACCGCTCACTGTTCATATTCCCTTCAAATACACAGAGGGGCGTTGCCCCTAACACAGATATGCCACCCCACAAGTTAAATTTCGGACTGTACTTTTGGCGCTGATACAAAGGTTTTTCAGTTTGTTTGGTCCAGAATTTCAGTGTATTAGGAAACAGCCACACAGAACTTTCATCTGAGAAAATCACATTGTCCCAGTTAAAATTTCTATGCTGTAAGCACCAGTCGGTGATGGAATTCCTCGACTTTTCTGCCAACCCATTGCATGCACCTCAGTTCTAATTGTCTCCTTACAGACAGCCACAGTTCCTCTATCAATCATATCCAGCCTTAAGTTTTCTAAACTCCTTCGTTTGTTTTTAGAAACAAGAATACCAAGACCCTCCTGTCACCGACAGTCAATTTTCTGGGCCTACCTGCGCCTCCCTGATGCTCAATGCCATATCCATTTGCAATATTTTTCAAAACACGATAAACAGTGGACAAAGGGATGCCTGTTCTACTTGAAATCACTTTAGCTGATCTGATGTCCTTGTTATAATACTCTAAATCAACTTGTCGTCTGCTAGCAAGTAAACAAAGGGGATAACTCTTCACAAATTAATGAAAAAGGATTAACGGAGTTGTCTCTCTTGAATGAAACCAAGCACTTGAGAGCTGGTCAAGGTTGTTTATACTAGAAATCCAATTCAACATATTCCTAAAATTCTCAATAATTTCTGGTCATACTATACGTGTCGTTAGGGATATTGGTATTTTTATGATTGATATTTTAACAGTGTGTCAATGAATAAATAGATCATTATTCATAATTTCAAAATTTACATATATCCCTAACTATTTTTGTCCAGTATATATTGCGTGTAAGTATGCAAGACCTAACAATGTCCATATATACAACAGACAGGTGGTATCAAAATATGAAAACATCAAAATATTGTAACTGCATTGTAGTTTTACGAAGATGCAAATTGAAATCGTTTCTCTTCTTACATACACTGTGGCCTATTTAGAAACTAAAGACTATTGGTGAATGAACGTTCATAGAGTGAGGGCAAACCTGTATGAAGTGGGAGCTGGCTACACAAAACCAATGTTAGTTCCTATAATTTCCTCAATAGTGATCTATTGCTCAAACCTCTTGGGAAGAATCACAAAACTTCACTTGTGCATTATGACTTAATATTTACACTGGCGCCATACAACAATCAACTACAAAGCGGAAATGAATAGTTCATAAAGAGTTGCATGAGCGTATGTATGCTTGTATGTATGTTTTATGTATCCTACAGATAGACATTTAATCGTAGAATATATGTTATTTCAATTTGTGGCTAGATTATCTAAAATTGCTAATAGCTGAAGGGATCGTGTAAATCCAGCTAGGGCCCATGCAGGAAGCAAATGTACTGTAAGTCCCCATGGTCCCTAGTATGGTGATCAACCTTCGGTTGTTGGCAATCTATAGCCTCTGTTTTTAATATTATTGTATTGTCATCAATAGTTAAACTGTTTTAGAGTTAATTACTAGTTTTAAATTCATATCTGTGATAATTTAGTTTTTTTAGTCCTTCGTTGACAGGTTTTTCATATTTTACCATGAATTACTATGTATAATAACTAATTGTTCTCGTCACGATATGGCTGAAATATTGCAAAAATGATAATGTCTCAGTTTTTCACAGATCAACGCCCTGAAAAAAGATAACCAACGTTAAAATTGTTTTCAAATAATTATACCCACATCTGTATATTTCATGGTACTGATTTTAAACTGGTTAAGTCTTGTGACGTTAGGAGTTTATATGGTGCAACCACACGTCATTGTATTATATGACACAAAACCGTTAGAGTGTTGATTGGAATATGGTATGCTGACCTTTCTACACACAAACCCTAGGTTATGTTTCACTGTGCTGTCAATGTGAGTGATGCCACGCTTTAGCTTTTACCATCCATTTCAGCAAAACTCCCAACAAAACTCCCCCAAATGAAAGAATATGTACTCTCTTTAATGCAAACGATATTGGAGATGAATTTCAATTTTTGTTTATTTGCCAAACTTTGGCCCAAGAAAGGAAAAAATATACTAACAGCTATTTCTGTAGAAATCCGAATATGCACAAAATGAACCAGTTTTTTCACTCTAACAAACTAGGAACAATTAGGAAATTAGTAATATTTTGCAAAAATGATAATGTCTCATTTCAAACAACGCCCTGACAAAAGATAACCAATAACGCATGAGTGTAACATTGTTTATTTTACTGATTAAATGTATGTACAGACAGTTTACTCTTGCAACAAAGCGATATGTATATATGACAACTTTATGTTTCATACTTGTATTTAAGTTGTACATTGTGATGTAAACTTGTACCTCTAATGCCGCAGAACGCGGCCGGTGTGTAAACAAAGTTTAGTTCAGCACAAAGCTGAGTATCAGTATTGATATTGATAACACCATCAGCACAGTCACGCCTCAATCAACTCTGCGCAGTCAATACTCTGTACTGATTCTACGGCAATTGTAATTCAACCCTTAGCTGTTATTGCAATCACTGAATGTCACAGATAGTGGTTTTCTGTGTTTCGAGTATAGATGATGGTTTTCAGTGTGATGAGATGTTTGCTTTATAAAGCTTTGTAACTACAGATATCGACATGGGCATGATTTGCCTTGTTCGATAGCTTTACGTGAATAGTCACGTGGTTCATCCTCCCGCACGGACAGTACACTGTATTCCAGACTGTATCACTGCACATGGAGGTACATGCTGTTCATCTGAACTTCAAGCACAACTTCTCTTTATCATCTGGAGGTGTTGTCAAGTATATATACTAGAGTTAATCATGAAAACCGAATGTATTACCTTTTCCGAAGGACAGGACGCTAAAAAGTACATTACAATTGAAGAAAAAATGAAACCTCTATTGATGTCCATGAAAGTGTTTGGAATGTACTTTGACCCAAAACAGGATGACAATACATCGCTGCAGTTGCAGAATGGACAGAAGAGGATATCTACAAGATTACTGGCTTTCATTGGACACAGACAGTACTGTTACATGGTTCTTCTTTGCTGTGGTTCAATTTTGTCCGAGCGGTTGTTGGGATCTTCCCTCCAAATGAAACATTACCCTTTAGGGTTCTAATGACGTCTTGGTATCTCCAGTGCACACTTAATGTAACTGTCATGGTGTTCTCATGTCAGAGACTTAGTCACTTAAGATCCTTTTACAACTACTGGGATTCTCTTTTCAAGAACAATGTCACAAACCAAATAGGATGTGGATTCAAATGCCCAATGAAATATTTGATGTTTGCAACATTCGGTGGATGGGGTTTGTTCTTCATCAACATAGCAGCAGTATTTACGATCTCTTTTGGAAATTTGTCATCATCAAAGTTTTTCCTTGGTGTCATTGTTCAGCCATTTCCAGAAGAGCAATGGGCAATCGCACTCCAACTCATCTTGCATGTGATTAGCACAGGTGCATGGATATTTCCTGTAATCTTCGTGGTTGTGGTTTCCAAGGTCATCAAAGATCAATTTCTCATATTTGGGCAGGTCCTGTCCAAGCAGATCCAGGAAGCAGATGACCACATTCCTGATCGTCTGCCAGAACTAAGAACTCGTTACACACAACTTTGTCAGGCTGTTAACATCATCAACAGAACCTTTAAATGGATACTCGGAATATCGTTTTTCCTTCAGGTTTTCCTGGCCTGTTTTATTTCGTACCAAATAATTAATGGCTCACATGAGATGTTTACAACTGTTGCCAATTCATTTTGGCTTGGAGGATGTTTTCTAATCATAATCTTGCTGACAAGGAGCAGTTCTAATGTTCATGAGGCGGTAAGTACACACATTAGTTTGGCATTGTGGACAAGGGTGGTCTAGTGCACCACAGTTCACTGTGATATGTTTTTACTTTATGCGTGCCAGAAATACATGATCGTGGATTCGAATCCTGATTACGTTTTTAGGTTTTCATTAATTCGGACTTTCCCCATATCAAAATGACATAACTCCCTTGTCAATTCCCCTTGTGATGCGTGTGCAGTAATGATCTGATCAGAGTGTAACACACCACATATTCCAGCTTGGGCACTGGACGAATCGGTCCTTTTCGCTTTCCTGTATTGAGGTATTTACATACACAAACGATTATTTTGATGTCCTGTGTACAAATCTGCTACGTAACTTTCTGGGTACAACTCTTTCAGGCACATTCTTTGCTGGAGGATATATTCCACACTGGCACAAAAAATGCCACAGCAGAACTTCTAGGTCAGGTAGGTGTATGTTTTTCACCACAAAATGTTCATTTGACTTCTTTTCTGAAATGGACTTTCTGCAAGAAACATTCTCACATAAAAAAGAAAGTCGTAACTCACCAACATTGATTAATTTTTCTAGAAATATGTTATTCACAGTATAAGTGTTTGAATACAATCCGATTTACAAGGAATTGGCTGTACACAATTATCTGTCGCAAAGTAGACGATCTCTCCAAAATGAATCTAGGCTATTGTTATCAATGTTTGCCTTCTTTTTTTCAGCTGAGCCTATTTGTCTTCAAACTGACAGGAACATCAATTGGCTTCACAGTCATTAACTTCTTTGTCATCACAAACGAGTTCCTTTTGACTGTAAGTTTCAAGTCAACAATCATTGCCATAAAAGTCACTAAAAACAAAGCATTGTTCAAATTAACACTGAACAACATGACATATTGTATTATTATGTGATGTTAGACAGTTGAAAAGAATATTAGAGAGGAATAAATGAACCAAATAGTCTCTGAGCAAGGGTTGTGAGTTAAAATGGACCGCTTGTCAGCCAGACAAACTGTTTGTGTACCACTTGTACAACATTTCTTGCTAACTATTGTTGATTGCCATGTAGCTCAACAATTTATTCATTTCAGCTGATTGGACTGTTCATCACCTACTTCTTCCTCCTGCTGCAGTTCAAGCTATAGACTGACATCGGGAGGTCGAATTGGATTAGATCTGTTTATACAGGATAACATGTCCCTATTCCACGAATGGATCAAACAACTAACTACATGCCACAGTGACGTCCATTGCAGCTTTGTAAATATGGTTGCTATGACCATAGAGAACTATCACAATTGTAACAAGCAAAGATTGTGTCCAGGGACACGGATGCCCCCGCTGCTGTAGGAAGAGTTCCCTACACTGAGACAAAGGAATCAGGAAAAAAATCAAGAGAGAAAACACAAAAGAAGCTCATATACATTCTTTCATTTCAGACATGACTGGAACCATAAATAAATTATCACACATTCAGGGTCCCACTGAAGTACTTGAAAACACTAAAAACAATGTGTTGAGGGGTTAGATAACACAACCTATTATCATATAAAGATCAATAATTGAACAAAATTCACGAACAAGTTCAATAAACATCTATACAACTATGAGATGCACACCTTTCGAGTCCCAATGAAACACATGTATAAGCTTAATCAATTCTGTTGAGCAGTTTTTGTGGAGAAGTGGATAGACTTAATCCCCTATTTCACTTTCATCAGAGAGAAATTCAACAAAATATATATCTAAGTTCAATTGTCTCTAAACTTACAACAAAAAAACATAAAATACAAAAACAAAATATGAGATGCACACCATTAGAGTCCCAAGAAAGCCCATGTTTAAGTTCATTGAATTCCACAGAGCGATTTTTGTGGAGAAGTGGATAGAGTACATTCCCTGTTTCGTACGTACGGACGGACACGGAGGGTAACCCTATATGCCCCCAGCCCTATTTGGCGGGGGCATAAAAAAGACCCAATATCGTTCAATAACCATCAATTGATTCCCTTCCACTGATGTACCCACTTGAACTTTAAATAAAGGAGAAAAGTGAGGCCGGTCACTTGTTTAATAATTAAGGCTGTGTGACAAAACGGATTATTTCAACTTTCAATGAAATCAACTTTCCCTTAATGTCGAGCCATATTCAAATAGCTCCAACATTTGAAGTACAACCATGTTCTTTTTATCAAGACTCTTGCTCATAACAACAGACTCTAGCTCAGAAGTTGTTTGATCAAGCTTACAACATTCAGGCCTGTATTTTCAGATTCACTAAAAATGATACAAGATACATCTCTCGATATCAGGTGTCAATTTCTGGAATTGTACTGTTTAGTGGCCGTTTTAGAAACCAATACGATTTTGACAGTTCCTCGAGCAGTGTCAGATTATATTGACAAAGAACGGAATTTGTTTTTTTAATTGAATAAAAGTATAATGTTCCAAATTTAAACGTTGATGTTGATGATAATATTTCCCGTGAACCCTACGATGGAACTGGTCATAAATGAAAGTGAGATAGCTGAGGGGATCAACCATTTGAAAATAAGAAAGGCACCAGTTCATGGTGATATCTTAGCTGAAATGATTACATGCACTCGGTCTGAAATTCTGCTGTCCCTAAAAAAAAACAAAAAACGTTTTCACTGGGGGTGTTTTTTTCCAAGTTCCTGGTCTACATATGTTTTAGTCAAGTTACATGAGAAAGCTATAGCTTTGGCCTCTGAACACAATGTATGTTACTCTGAGGGTGTGGGTTCGAATCCCGTATGGGACTCAAGTCAGCAGTCTAGACTACCAGTTATCACACTTCCATTTTTGTGGAAGTCGCGGTGGCTGAGCGGGTTAGGCGGCTGACTTTGTGTGCTTGCGATTTGGTGCCAGACTCTGCCTGACTAGAATTTGTACTTTACTAAGAAAGTGTAATCCCAAATATAGCATATGTTACATTTGACTACTTTCTAAAATGGCATTATGTAATCTTAGTTGATTTAAACATGGTAGTATAAATTAGTAACTGCGATTGTTAGTTGCTGTATCCTCGAAGGGGGTTGAAGTATCGTAAAATTATTGTCCTCCTGTGAGGGTACGTAAGTCCCAAAACTTTCAAAGTTAAATTTTTGCTTACCGGATTTTTAAATGTAGTATATTTGTTCCTTCAAAATTCGCCTAAACTTTTCCTACAATCGCCAGCGGCTGAAGGGATGGTGTCAATCCAACTAGGGTCCATGCAGGTAGCAAAGGCACTGTAAGTCCCCATGGACCCTAGTATGGTGATCTACCTTCGGGGTTTTTTATCTTGTATTGTCCTAATAGTGCTATTAGTTTTAATTTCTACACTAGTTTTAAATGTAATTGTGATATTCTAGTTGTTTTACTGTTTGTTTGATGACAGGTTTTTATAATGTACACATATGTTACATTTGACTACTTTCAAAAATGGCATTATGTAATCTTAGTTGATTTAGAATACAATTGCTAATTACAGCACATATCTTGTCGTTTGTTGATTTTACGCATAGTTTCTCACTGACGTATTCCTGGTGAACTATTTAGTTTCGATTTAGAAATCAAACTATTCCAATCCGTCCAGAAAGCTGTGTATTAGGATGGCACATACTTCTTTGAATGTCCGAATGGGCTGCGTCAGGGATATATCCTTATCCCTATTCTCTTCTGAATTTCGGCAAATTTGGTGCATAAATGTCCAGTCATTTTTTGGAATTTCCAATACTTCTCTTTGCTATTAAGTCATATTCGTTTAGACTCTATTGTTGGGCTACAAACACAGCAGAATATTTTGGAGAAATACAGTACTAATGCCAACCATCGGATCACTGGCAATAAGTAACATTGCAATATTTAGAAGGGATGACTGACAACTAAAACGTAAAATGGTCTTTTAAAGGAAATCAAGGGATGCTATTAATTCCTACATATATCCTTATTGGGTATTTTGTCAGTTAAATTAATAACGTCGCCACCAGATCTGACTTTACGTGTTAAAACGGCTTTTGATTCAACTCCTTGTTTCTTTTAAATTTAGAAATGTACTTTTTAATGTCAGTGTTAAACTTTTCGAAATACAAATCCAGCCTCGTTTGTGTTTTGTTGTCTCTAGGGTGTGTGGTTTTTTGGTGTGTTTTTTCGAGGGTGGGGTGGGGGGCTCCGGGTTCCAAAGATATGTATGTCTGGGAAAAATATATCTTTTGGAACGTAAATTAAATCTAAGGGTTAGACACTATTTACATATTGTTACTGTATCCTATCCACAGAGCTTCACAGATCAGTTGCCTTAGGTTATATATGCACAAACGTTTATATATGCACAAACGTCTAATTAAAACTGGCTTTTACATTTAGATAGTATTGGTGGACTTTACATATTAGAAACCTTCTATATTTAATAGCGCTTATGTCATTGTTTGGTTGTGTTCGAGAATTCCAGGAACACAGTATCGGTTGTTGTTTTTAAAATACATGACATTTATATTTGAACGAAAGTACATGACATAAATCCCACAGATCGTTTAAAGATAGCTTGAAGCTGAAAAGTACCTATTCAAGCTAACGTCCCAAAATTACGTGGTTCAGATAACAGATTTAGATAGGGTCTATCACAATTGAGATTTAGTGAGTTAAAACCTAAAGCCTCATAGGCATTTTGTCGGACCTATCTGAATTTATTACAATACAATAATCGGAGGGCGATTTGTTCACAAACCACATCATACAGCTGTAATTCTGCTGAAACAAATATATGCTCATGATATGGTCACAATTGTACAGTCGACTCTGCTTTTGGAAGAGATTTCTTATAAATGTGGAAAGGGTTTTGTCGCTTCTATTTTTAAAAACCCAAAGAACTAAAATACCAATATGGACATCCGTGTCGAAAACGTCAGCATACATCTGGTGTTTAAGTTTAAAACAAGTTCTTTAACTGGAGCCCTTCAATTTTTTACCTGGGTTTACATTATATATTTATGTCTGTTCATGAATGTTCATGGATGCATAATACAATATGTTCAGCATTAAAAATTGAAATGACAATCCAGTCTTGTTTTGTTTGTTTGGCTGGTGATTATTAACACATGAGAATAACCCACAAGTCAGTATCTCCTAGTCTAAAGCTAAATTGCTCCTAGTTTCAATACAAAAATGTACACTTTGTTCATTGACACATCACAGTATGAGTCCAATATACTTGTGATGAGTCTCTAGTATGGTGGTCTACCTTCGGTTGCTGGCGATCCATAGCCCGTTTTATATATTGTATTGTCCTGATTTGAAATCCTGTTTTAGAGATAGATACTAGTTTTATTTGTTGTGTCTGTTATATTCCAGTTGGGTTTTTTGTCCTTCGTCGACAGGGTTTAGTGATTTACATGTATTTATGATGAAGTTGAAAACTTGTTTTAGTCACGATATGGCTGAAATATTGCCGATGCGACTTTATATTTTAACTCACTCACTCACTTGTGATGAGGCTTGATGAGATTTGTTAAAGGTCACATGCAACGTAAAACACAACTTTGCAGATTCTGATACCTTTCGGTATGGACGTACCGAAACAAATCATCAAAAATGCAAATTCAACTTATAAAGTTCAAAAATAACGAGATGAAAAAAACCGCGCGAAATCGGAGTTCAAACGATTCACTAATTTTCCCCCGACTTTTCGGGGGAAAACGGGGATCAACAGCTGGGCTGCGCTCATAGCACGTGCGCAGTGAAATAGGTTCGCGCAACTTGGAAGCGGGCTGTCCGGTGAATACTCGGTGAAGGCTTTGGTGTGAGCTATTTTCCTAATGTTTTGTTGATATCTCACAGGCGCGAGCTTTTTATATGTTATGACAGTAAATAAACTGTTTATATAATTTCATTTGTCTATTTCACCACACGTTCTTCTTACCGAGTCACTTTCTCAGTTCGATACGTAAAAGCAATGTCATTATTTAGCGTTGACAGAATTTCTAACTGTGATATAGATATGTCGTTGTCACAGACAAAACTCAATGTCTTGTTTTATTGACACCTGTGTGTCTGCCTGTCTGCTAATGACAATATTCAATACACAACTGCGATCACTGACCACATGCACTTTGAACTTAACACCAATCAGGCTATACACCATAAA